CAACTCTTTTATCACACCTTTAAAATGGAGTGGAGCCTACATAAAGAAATGATCTGTGAAACAGACCAGGAGTGACATAGCCTTATTTTTCTGTTGTAATTTCATTTTCTTCAAAATGTGACACTCCAAGGTCACTGTATATTGCCCACCACAACCTCACATCACAAGCCTCATCTAATTCATGAGGCCTGCATTTAACTGCTGCAGGTAGCTAGATTTTTACTCTCACCTCTTTCCATTCAATAGAAATGTAGGCAAAAAATTCCAAGCCCATGATGAGGATGCTCAGTTTGGATCAATTTTGGGTTGCAGTTGCTTTGCGTCATTTACCTGTTTGTTCTTGTTGCACTGCTTGCTGGAGACGGCAGTTCCCTTAGATTGTGGCTGGAATATAGGCTCCCCACCCCAGGGTCTTGCTGTTGCTACTTTGACTTTTACTCTCTGAAAAAACAATATGACAAATATCAGAAGCCGAGACAGTGAATTAGACAGAAATGCCGACTGGCCTGTCACACAGATTCAGAGGACACTGTGGCAGGTTCCTGGAATAAATACATATATTTATGGCTCAAGGAAGCCAAAGAAGCCATCAGTGTTTGGAAGGACTAGCTCCTGAGTGGTCAATATAACTTTCATTAGGTTGTGTGACACTGGCTCTGCAACCTAATTAATTAAGGCATTATGTTTCTATCCCTGTTTATCCAATATGTGGCTGGTCAGCTTAACATGGCTAAGACTCCATGTAAACCTTTATATCCTAATAAACATCACATTGCATAATGAGACAGGAGCTGACTGAAATTGAATCCCCCTCCCTCCATGCTTCTGGTTTTAGGAGCATTTTATTCCCCCCAGATGAGTGTACCTAGCCTTGTGTTTGGGTGGAGCACCGCTGACATCTAGTGACCAATTAGAGTCATGCACAGCATACATCACTATACAAAAAGGTCTACCTTTTGCTCTTTTGATGGTGTTTGAAATGAAATGAAGAATGGAATCATCTAAAAGGATTTTGACCATGCAAAGGACTGTTCATGGAGGGCCTACCAACATGAGCTGTGGCTGCATTAATATTCAAGATAGATGCTGTCTCTGTCTGATTTCACAAGAGACTTTTGGGAGTTTTGCAAACTGCAAAGATTCTTGGAGTAAGGTCAGAGATTTGGAATCCTTTGGGGATTTCCAGGCATGCAGGCAGATTTTTCCCTCTACAGAGCCATCACTCATTGTGGTAGTCACACACATGCTGCTCACCACAACAGAAAACAATTCAAACCCAACAAACTCCCAATGCCAGGATTCATATTCCTGGCTGGAGTGGGTGAGAGCGCCACCCGGAGGAGTGTTTCTCAAAGTGGTTTGTGGCTCCACTATGGTTTGTTTACTCACTGGCTCCGCAGTGTGAAGGAGTGTTTCTCAAAGTGGTCTGTGGCTCCACTATGGTTTGTTTACTCACTGGCTCCGCAGTGTTGCGGTTTGCCATTTGCAGCCAAAGGTGACCTGGGCCTCTGCTTCCCGCAGCTTCTCTTGGCGGCAAATGGCAGCCAATGGGAACCGTGATGCTCTGTGGCTGCGGAGCCGGTAAGTAAACAAAGTGGAGCAGCCTGGTAGCAGATTTCTCAGAGTGGGTCTGTGGACCACTTTGAGAAACACTGACGTTGAAGTAGAGCTAGGTCCCTGTGATGCAGCCCCAGTTATATTTAAAGAGGTTCTTTGTAAGTGGCCCCTCGTGGCAGTAAGGATCAGTTCCTGCTGCTCTCGGGCTCACAGGTTTGGGGTTTGGAGCCTCCATTTTGGGTTGGAAATTACAGCCCTGGGAATGGTGGAGCTATGGCCAGTTCAAGTCAATCTGGGTCTCCCTGCAAAGCCATTTTCTTGGGGATCACCTACTGAAAAGCCCAGATTCGCACCCATGCTTGCTGCAGGAATCCGGAATACCAGCCAGAGCCATGGTAGGGGGGAGATGTCTTGAGAGTTCAGCAGCCTCAAGTTATCGTCTCATTGATGACAGAGCTCCTTGACAGTGTGAAGGAACTAGTGCTCCATATCATGTCCCACTGGGGCATGCGCAGTATATAACACACCAGCCTTCCAACCTGCTCTCTGGGCTATGTCTACACTCATGGCTTCTTGCGCCAGAAATATGCAAATGAGGCTAAGCGTGGAGTGTCGCCGAGCCTCATTTGCATACCTAATGAGCCGCCATTTTTGCAGAAGAGGCTCTTGCGCCAGAAGGAGCTGTCTACACTGCCCCTTCTTGCGCAAGAAAAACCCTCTTGCGCAATGCCATTCTTCCTGGAAAGTAATCGGCGTAACAGCATTGCGCAAGAGGGTTTTTGCTGCGCAAGAAGGGGCAGAGTAGACAGCTCCTTCTGGTGCAAGAGCCTCTTCTGCAAAAATGGCGGCTCATTAGGTATGCAAATGAGGCTCGGCGATATTCCACGCTTAGCCTCATTTGCATGTTTCTGGCGCAAGAAGCCGCGAGTGTAGACAAAGACCTGCTGTCTATTGAAGGGAGTGGCAATCTCCAACTCTTACCAGAACTTTTTCATGCGGCTAACAGCTAGCAGGGAGCCTCCTTCAGCTGCAGGAGTAAGGCCTCTGCAATCAGACCTGGAGAACTGCTGTGTCTCCCTGCAGTGAAATGTTCCTTGGTCACATGGGTGGTGCCCATCTACATATTTTGTTAGTCTTTGAGGTGCTGCTAGACTATTTGTTGATTTTTAAATACAGACAACCGAGTCAGGCAAAAGGTCGTAGGAAGGCCACCGGTTTGTGACAAGAGTTTGCCCTTTGTCTTGAGATGCGGCTCTCAAATGCCTTTATAGATATTTTCTAAAGCAGGACAAGGTATTCACTTCATGTTACATGAAAGGTAAACTGAGGCACAGAGGCTAAACTGCTCTGCCAAGGGCATATAGACCGAGTCGCAACCAAGCCAAGAATAGACCCCTGCTCGCTGCTCTAACCACAGACTAGGGATGTTAAAATACATTTATTTTTGTACACGTGTACCTGCTGAAATTTTCAGCGGTTACGTTTACATGCAGGGGGCAGGTGGAAGCCTGATTAAAAGCTGGCTCCCTGCGAGCACCAGCGTCTCCCTGTTCCCCTTCCCCCGCTTCCTCTGATATGGAAGCAGCAGGTTGGGGGTGCATGTAACGGTGAGGATTAACCAATGAGTGCAGCACTGACAGCATTGCCTCTCCCCAGGTACTGCTTTCTCCGTCGTTAATCGTTAATCAGTCAGCGACGCCATCTTGTGGCCAGTCCCTAGTCCTCTTTCACCCTGCTGACTGCCTGGTCTAGAGCCAAAGCCACCCCGGTTGGCCTGTTCAGGCCCCTGAGTTGAGCTTTTTATTATTGTTTGTTCCTGGCAGAACGGCGGGGAAAAAAACAAGTGCTCAGGTGTATTTGTTGAAACTGAAGCATGTGATAGGAGGCTGCAGAGCACAAATGCAGGGACAGTATTAAAGCCCCAGCCCCAAAGCAAACCTCAGAGAGAAACCCCCCTGGTTGTCAGTGTGAAAGTCCTGCCGAGTGGCAGCAGCCCTCTGGTGCCAGTTTGTCAGGTGCGGGGACTTTCCTTAGCCCCACCCCTCGACGCTTGCAATGAGCTCTCTAGATACCCAGCCCAAAGCTCCTGTCTGCTCTTGCGCTGGCTGCCAGAGCAGTGGGGGCTATTGAGACGGACGAGGCAGCAACTAGACCTAGGGAGCAAGGATATGTCCTGCAGCCAGGACCGAACCCAGAGCTGCAGGAGGAAGGGGGTCAGCGGGAGGGGGGCTCACTTTGGTGCACCACACGAGATGCTGACATGCACCCCGTAATGGAGTCCCCTTTCAGGAGCGTCTGTAGAAAGACTGCACTGGTGCAAATGTATTTCTGGGTGTGATTCACTGTCCCATTGAGTGGCACCTAGACCTCTTCCAGACAGAATAATGAGTCTATTCTACAGCCTTAACAGGGAGCTTTTAGCTCAAGTAGTCTAAGCTCCAGAAGTCCCAGGTTCGGTTCTGCCCAGGGGCATTACACAAAGAATGCAAGGCTGCATGGGGGCAGGCCTAAAGGTCTCTGTAGAAACAGCCATCCCGGAGCTAGGTCTCCAGGCTGTGCATGAAGAGGCAACTGGGAGCGAAGGGGCCACTGCACTTCCTTGTGGCCCTGCAACAAAATAACCCGAGGGCTGAGGCCAGTCCGCAATCTCCAATCTGCACATGTGCCAGGGCCCCTTAGCTTGTGTGTAGGATCATTGGCAACGTCAGTCTCCCTTTGGGCCAGATCTCCAGAGCCTTGTTTGACTCGCTCCTAACTTCCATCAGGCCAAACCTCTGAGTTGCTGAGTGTCTCCAGCTCCCATCGACTGCAGTGGGTTTTTGCTTGAATAAGACTCTCAGGATTTGGTCCACTCGGAATACCATCCTCTCCAGTGCCAGCTGTTGGGAGCATTGCTCCGGGTCTGGCTGGTGAAGATAATTTTCCCCTGGGCAGTGCTATCAGGCATGCAGCCGAGAGACTAGGAATGGTACTTGGTGGGTCAGGAAATGTTCCTAGCCATCCATCCCCACACATAGAACACTCAGGTGCCTGGTCAGTCACAGACACCGGCAAATGAGATGCATGTGACTAGTTAAAATGGTCCAGTTCCTTGCTCACTAAAGACCATTTCTTTGACGATCGATGAAAATGAAACGCTGCACATCCAAGGATCTCCTCTGGGTCCCGACTTCCTGCTGGCATGAGCTGCTGTGAGAAATTATGCAGAAGCTCTGGCTGTCAGTGAGATGCAAAGGCTCCGGCACCATGCTGGGATCTATGCGATCCTGGTTCTTAGCAGAGTTTCTCTGGCTTCTGTGGCCATGGAGGGATCCATTTCCCCGGAGCCCCAGGCTGTCACTGTTAAAAAGCTGCTCACGAGTGCTTGGTTCTCAGACCCAGAGCCCATCCGGGACTGTGGTAGGGCTGAGCTGATGGTGTGATGTTGCCCTCTCTTGCTTTAGATCAGCCACCATGGGCTCAGTGGGAGACGAGCACTTCAAGGACATCAGCCCCATGGTGACCCCTGAGGGGAACGTGGTGATGAGCTTCAGCTTTGACAGCTACCAGCTGGAGGAGGAGGAGCTGCAGGCAAAAGGGAACCAGGCCAAGGGAGTTCTCACCTTTATGGAGCCAGGTAAGGCTTGGCACGTCTCCTGGCTTGCAAAGAGGGAGCAAGGGGGAAGGGCTGAGGGGGGCACCTAGCAACGGCAGCGACAGACATGTAAGACACCTGTCGATGCAAGGAGAGGAGTGGGAGGAGAGAGCATCGTCATAGCACACAGTAGGCCAACCAGCCTCACACTCTGTGTGTCACTTAGCACCTGGCAAACCCTGCTGTGCCTGGGTTCCTTTCACCTGGGAGAGGCCCCCAGACTTTGGCCGTGTGTTCAGTTTTCCTGACTCCTTGGGTCGGGAGAGCTCCCAGGGCGAGATTTCTTGCCAGATCTTCTAGTTGCGTCAGACATTCTCCACGAGCAGCCATTACCTTGCTGTGGGGTTGCTTCAGGCCCAAAGGAGACCAGGGAATGCAGAGGCCATGGGAGGGGGTGGAAATAACGACGATATGTTCAGGGAACTTTTCCCAAGCCGCCAGAAGATTTGGTTCAAATCTTGGACAGCGTCTGGGGCTGGTTCTTATTGTACAAGAGTCATTCAGCCCAGTCCTTAGGCCTAACTACTGTGAGAAGGGCCTGCTGTCCGTGGAACCCCTGAGCACAAACAGCAAGTGAACCAGGCTGCTGGCTGGTCTGCTAAAAATGTACTGGGGAGGAATGCACGTAGTCTGTACCATTAACCGATAAGCTTTTGCATATTGGTTAATCGACTACACCATTACATCCCTACTCTGTATTGTGCCAGGGCGTGTGTGTGTGTAAGAAACGGACACTATTTGCCACTTCCCTCTGCAGAGCCCCAGTATTTTAGCAGTGCAGACTCCAACACGTTGCAAGTGCAGTGTGTTCCCAGATGACAGGAAAGCAATTAGTGAGCAATCGCTCTCCTGGCCAAGCAGATCTTATACGAGAGTCTACTACAAACCTCTCACAGGCTGTGTCACTTGAGCAAGTGCCAGCTCTGGGACAGATCCTTCATTACCTCCACTGGGGCTCATTGCAGTTGCACCCACTGAGGATCTGGCCTTAGGTCTGCATATTTTTCAGAGAGTCATACCTCTGCCTGTCCCTCTCTGTACATACATTGGTTGGAGTGGGCCCGTTTCACACCAGATTACCTCAGTGCATTGCACATCAAAGACCTGGTATTCTTATACCTCCAGGCTACATCTACACTGGCATGATTTTCCACAAACGCTTTTAACGGAAAAGTTTTCCATTAAAAGCATTTGCGGAAAAGAGCGTCTAGATTGGCACTGACGCTTTTTCGCAAAAACATTTTTTGCGGAAAAGCGTCCGTGCCAATCTAGACGCGGTTTTGCGCAAGAAAGCCCCGATCGCCATTTTCGCGATCGGGGCTTTTTTGCGCAAAACAATAACGCGTTGTCTACACTGGCCCTCTTGCATAAAAGCATTTGCGCAAGAGGGCTTTTGTCCAAACGGGAGCAGCATAGTATTTCCTCAAGAACACTGACAATCTTACATGAGATCGTCAGTGTTCTTACGGAAATTCAAGTGGCCAGTGTAGACAGCTGGCAAGTTTTTCCACAAAAGCAGCTGCTTATCCTAGTACACTCAGGGACCATTTCATTCTGCAATAGAGAAACCTCACTCTTTGCTCCCGGCATGGAAATAGCCCTAGGCTGGAAACTATAGGTAGGTGAACAGGGGCACATGCATACAGATCCATATGGACAAGTGTCTTTAGGAGGCTATTTTCCCCGTTGGCTGGCGCTACAGAGTTGTCCAACATGTGGGTTTCCTGCCCCCCCTCTGAAGCAGTGCTGGCCACTGTTAGAGACCGGATCCCAGACTAGCTAGGCCACTGGTCATTCCTGCACAGGCGAGCGCATAGAATAATGGCCCTGCAGTGTATCAGTCAGTTGCAGTGAATAGAAAGGGGATTCTTGACAGAGGCTGCAAGATACAGTCTGTCATTTCTCTGACGCTTCACCTCCCAGCTTGTGCTGCCACTTGGGGTGGTCATAAGTCCTGTCGTGGCCTGGCAACCGGCTGTGAGTGTGTATCTCTTGCACACTGGAACTGGAACAGTCTGTTCCTCATCTCAGCCTTTCGATGCATTTCTCAGCCTGGCTGTAGGATTCTGTGTTGGGCTCTAATGGGCACATTGGCATCACCATCACCTGCTCTGTCTTATTTTGGGGTGTAGCCTCTGAAGACCCCGAGCCCCAGGACCGATACCATGGGATTTACTTTGCCATGCTGCTTGCTGGGGTTGGATTTCTCCTGCCGTACAACAGCTTCATCACAGATGTGGACTATTTGCATCATAAATATCCAGGTGGGTCGTTCCTGGCGATGGTGGTTTGGAGCGTCTTAGGGAGGCAAAATCCCGTTTAATTAGTTAACCGGTTAAACATTATGCTTAACCGGTTAATCGGTTAAATGAGAGCAGGCAGAAGGCCAGCCCATTGCAGCTGTCCTGGAGTGGTGTCCTCAACACGGGCAGGGACTCCTCCTGGTGCACCCGGCTGGGCCTGCTGCAGAGGGGGTTGGCTGCTTTGGCTGGGCTGGAGTGCCCTGCAACTGTAGCGGCCCCATGGGGCTGAAGTAGCCCCCTTCCTGCGGTGGGATAGGGTGCTTCTCCTATCCCTGCCGGTTAACCATGACTGGTAAGCATCACCTGGTTAACTGGTTAACCATTCACATCCCTAGTGTGTCCCTGGCTCCACTCCGTAGATTTAATTGCACCACGCCAGGACATAACATGGAAACTGTCAGTCAGAGTCCTCATTAGCAGCAGAATGCTAGTCTGACAGGCAGAGGGGAAGCAGCCTGGACAGGCCGCTGATTTCCAATTCACATTTAACCTTTGAAAGCCAGCGGTCAGGATTCCTGGTGTTAAATGCCACTAGCAAACACGCATGGCTGCATCTAGACTGGCAAGTGTTTCCACAAAAGCAGCCGCTTTTGCGGAAAAACTTGCCAGCTGTCTACACTGCTGTCTTGCTTGAATTTGCGCAAGAACACTGATGACTAATGTAAGATTGTCAGTGTTCTTGTGCAAATACTGTGCTGCTCCCGTTCGGGAAAAAGCCCTCTTGCACAAATGTATTTGCGCAAGGGGGCCAGTGTAGACAGCTAAAAACTTTTGCGCAAAAAAGCCCTGATGGCGAAAATGGCAACCGGGGCTTTCTTGCACAAAAATGCATCTAGATTGGCCATGGACGCTTTTCTGCAAAAAGTGCTTTTGCACAAAAGCGCCCGTGCCAATCTAGATGCTCTTTTCCGCAAATGCTTTTAATGGAAAAACTTTTCCATTAAAAGCATTAGCGGAAAATGATGCCAGTCTAGACGCAGCCGCATCTGTTTAGTGCTGGGAGAGCCTTAGAAGCTGGTGCTAGAAAAGGCAGGGGCTGCCGAAGTGAGTGCCTGCGTATTCTGAGGGGCTCTGGTTCGGAAACACGATTTCTCCTGGTCTCCCAGATCTTGTGGGTACAAATAATTAACAGGTGCTAGATGTTCTCCAGGAGGTCTGCCCGCCTGAACTCCCCAGGGCAGCCTGATTCATGACAGCAGCGTCACCCGTGAGTGTTTGTACCCTGCGTGCAAAGGGGAGTTATACAAAATGCATGGCTACCCCACTGGCATTTCCCTAGACCCTCACACTGCCCTCTATCATTCTACAGCCTTCTCTCCTGGAGAGCCCCAGCTGCCATTTTGGCCCACCAGACCTGACCTGGGACTAGAACCCATGACCCTGTGCTTCCCAGGCTAGTGCCCTAGCCCCTAGGCCACATGGGAACCCACCCCACCTAAACAATGCTGCCCTGACATTGTTCTTTGAGGCCACAGCTGAGTTACCCAGACAGTGGCACTGTAAACACTCATCCCCATTCATCCTGCAGATAAACCAGATAGGTGGGCTAGGGAAAGCATAGAATGGTCGCCAGACCCCACATTCAGCTCCCAGAGGTGCCAGCACAGAGCCACTGTCAGCAGCAGCTTGAGTGCACCCTGCCTGGTAAATCAACACACCCAGCCTGGCGCTGCTCTCGGAGTGTTGCATGCACCCTGCTGTGCCTGGTAAATCAACACACTCAGCCTGGCGCTGCTCTCGGAGTGTTGCTGACCATCCTCGGCCCTTCTCTCCTCCTGCAGGGACCTCCATTGTGTTTGATATGAGCCTCACCTACATCCTGGTAGCCTTGGTAGCCGTCATCTTGAACAACGCCCTGGTGGAGCTGCTGAGTCTGCACACCAGGATCTCTGTGGGTAGGTCTCTCCCCTTCCTACCCCTGCCTCAGGGATCGAGACAGGATCCAAGCCTACCTCTGCAGTCGTGGGTCCCCTTATCTCCTGAGCTATTCTCCTGTCCCCTCAGTGCAAGCTGCCAGGCTGGCCTTTGCCAGAAGCTTGGACTCTCCTCCCATCTCCAGCACCTCTCCGCGGAGCGACCTAGAAAGAGGCTGCAAGCACTGAGATATCATTGTCCGTCCTTGGTCCCTCCAGGGTACTGGAGAGTCTCTTCTCCTCCCTGCCTGATCTGCCAGGACAAGATGTGTCTTAGGTGTGCAGTGACCTCATGCTCACTTTCCAAGGGGAAGACAATTGGGCGCTCGAGGCTGGTCATGTACAAAGCAGTAGAAGCATAAATCCTTTCACCCACACCCCAGCTCACCCAGTCACGTAGACTTAGCCCAGCATCCAGTGTAAGCACCCAGACTTCCAGCCATGCGGCCCATCAGACGCTAGAAACACCCTCAGGCAGACAGCTGGCTGCCTAGAAACTCAGCCAACATGAGGAACCCACAGAGAGTTAAATAACTAACGCCACCTTGGCTTTCATGGGAACAGACGGGGGGTTTTCTCTGCCCCCTTGTTCATCTGCTCTGTGGCTCCATCCCCACCTCAGTACAGGGACACGTTCCTTCCCCCGGTGGCTCCGTGCGGTGGGAGTGGCTCTGACAGGTGGCCCGTTGGAGTTCCACTGGGATTCACAGGCTGCTGGACTCATCATGTCTCTGTCCCGAGCCAGCCCAGAGGCGGGTTCCCAGCTCTGCTCTCTGCCCCTGACTCCCGTGTCCCTCTTGTTCGCTGCAGGATACCTCTTTGCGCTCGGCCCCCTTCTCTTCGTCAGCATCTGCGACGTCTGGCTGGAGCTCTTCACCCGCCGGCAAGCGTACGCCATTAACCTGATAGCCGTAGGGGTCGTGGCCTTCGGCTGCACAGGTATGTGAAGTCTGGTGCAAGGAGGGCGATGTTTGGGGGGGGAGCAGAGACCTGGTGCAGGGCACGAGGCCTGCTTGAAAACGGAGAGGGGAATATGTGGAAAGGGGAAACTCCCCCTTCACCCAAAGATCCTCTTTCCTTGCAGGGAAAAGCAGGAACAAACCTCCTGATATTTCTGTTGGGTCCACATAGGTCAGCAGTTCACTGCCACTGAGGGGTAGTTGCTGCTGCCCGAACGTCGAGAGCCCTTCTCCCTGGTCCATCTCCACAGTCGTTGTCTTATTTTTTCAGTCACAGCTGTTCTTCTCAGACCCTGGGAACACCCTGTGACCTAGAGCAGGTGATGCAGCATGCATACCTGCCAATAAAAACCAGGAAAAGTCCAATTTGCATAAAAGCACATTCATTTGCATTAAATTACACTGATTTGCATAAAGTGCTGCCCGATGGCCTGGGCAGGGTGGGCTTTCAGAACCCCCCAATGCCAAGCACCGTACTCACCCACCCCATCATACATCTCTAGCGCCACCCCATCAACTGCAGCCAGAAGGGCCGGATCCCGAGCTGGGGTAAATCAGCATCACTGTGGCTGCTCCTTGCCTTGCTGACTGATTGGACAGGCTTGTTTGTTCAGTTGGGAAGAGCTGATGGGCAGGGCGTCTGAGTACCAGGCGGAGAGGAAAGAAGGCAAATTGAAATTGAGCTCTTGTTTGGTGAAAAAACTGGGGGTCCCTCCTCCCATTCTGGGCTCTATGAAGTGTCACTTTTTGAGCTAAGGCGACGTACTGGTGATTTTCCATCACGGCTTGCGGTTCCAGCTGCTGAGTTTTTGGTTCCTTTTGAAAACATTAGTAACCCGAAAGCTGCGCTAACCAATCCCTTTTCCCTTGCGACCGAATGCTTTGGGACAGTGAAATTTCGGGGCCATGTAGCTGCTGGCCATGGGTCTTGGTAATCCCAAGGCCTGCCCCAGGTGGGTTATTTTTATTCACAGACCATTTTTCAGCCAGTAAAACCCCAGCCCTCTGCAGCTAATTAGCAGCAGCGCGCCCAGGTGTGTTTACTGCCTTGGCATTGTTTTCTTTATGGTGCCGCTTAGCACTCTGGCCCGCACGTCGTTCGCGTCATGCTTCACAGCATGCACCCTGACACCCCACCCCCCTCCAACACCCTGCTCCCATCTTGGCTTTCAGTTCCTGGGACTCTCTTGCGCCAGAGGTAGGGCGACCCGGCAGCAAGGATGAAAAATCGTGACGAGGTTGGAGGGTAGTCGGCCTCTATATAAAAGAAAGCCCCAAATATCAAGACTGTCCCTATAAAATTGAGACATCGGGGTCAGCCTGGCCAGAGGCGTCCAGGACAGAGCTGGCGCCTTTCCCCAGGATTCTTGGGGTTTTTTAGTGTTGGCACGAGTGAAGCAGGCGGCTCTGATTCATGAAAACACGCCGACCGGCTACCATAGGTTTACCGTTAAGAAGGGGCTCTCTTCAGTCAGATCTTTAGAAGCAAACTACACCAGCCTCTCCGGGTTCAACCGCTCCAGGGACTCTGCCAAGCATCGGAGGCAGGACTCCTGGCCGTATATTTGGGCTGGATCCTGGAGGCATTGTGGGTAGGGAGTAATACCGCTTCTCCTCTCTTTCTTCCATGCGCCTCCCTCTTGAAGTGCAGCAATCCAGTTTCTACGGCTACACCGGGATGTTGCCCAAGCGGTACACCCAGGGGGTGATGACTGGCGAGAGTGAGTATCTTTGGGATCCTGGATTTGGAAAGCCTGCTGGTTGGCAGAGCTGCTCGCAGTGCTGATGAGATAATAGGCTCGTTAGCTTCGCTGGCCTGTTCTCCTGTCTGTAATCATTACTTGGCACATGTCAGAAACCCCTCCTCTCCCTCCCTGCAGCTTGGCACAGTGGCCACATCTGTGCTTGGAGCCCAGACATGATCCCTAGGTCTCATCCAGCTACTGTGCTAGGGATCAGCATCCTGCATGTACACCCGCAGGGCACAGGTGGTTCGTGGTGGGGGGCGGCTAGCCGTGCTCTCACTAGGGCAGCTTTGCGGGAGCTGGGAGCACCCCTCACTGGTGAAGACCTAGGCAGAGTCTGGGTGCAGTGCTCCACCCATCCCCATGTCAGGTTCTTGGGGAAGTTGCTGCTTAGAGATGTGACCCCTCCATGCTCAGAGCCCACCTTATCAGTATGCCCAGCGCCGAGTTGCACCCACAGGCTGCGGCTGCGCTTCGGTCGGTGGTGTGATTGCAGCGTCTGCAGACACACCCGCGCTCACTTGGGTCTAGCTAGCCCGCGAGGCTGCAGGTCAGTGCAGGCTGTATAAGCTCACTGGGACCTGGGGCACTTCCTCCAGGGAGGGGGAGATGCCCATGCTGAAGTCTGTGCTTCATTGCAGCTGGCCCCGATGTTTCCTCTAGTCTTTTCCATCCATATGTGGAATACATTTTGTGTGCACCGAGGCAGGTGCGCATGTGCACCACCAGAAGAAAGAAAACACCTGGCAGTGGGCCCTCTGCTAAGCAGCGGGGCAGAATAAGAATCTCTCCTGAGCGGCTGCACAAGCGCACAGAGCACCAAAGCTAGCTAGACGGAAGCTAGGTGGGGTATGTCCACACGGGCTGCGGAGAGGAGGCCAGCATACAGACAGCCCGCTCATTTCCTAGGGCATTGTACAGCACGTAGACTAGAGTTGGAGTCCCTGCTGTGACCCTGGGTAGTTAGGTTGCAGCCCATCTTGCCCCCGACATAGCAAAGGCCGTCACTCATTCCTAGCTGAGTCTTCTTCAGAAGACCTCTCCACCCCATTGCCGGAGTCCATCGGCCCAGCCATCTCTGGAGCCTGCGAGGGATCGTTGCTGACTCTCCGACATGCTGCTCTCTCCTCAGGTGCTGCAGGCCATCCTAGGTTTTAGTCTTTCCCTGACAGAGCCAAACAGCCATTGGCCAGGATCATGGCTTTTACATCCTGCCGAGCTCAGACACGTAGGCCCAGGCACACAGTGGCAGGTGGAAGGCGCGCTCACCACATACCATTGGCAGATGCACTAACCGAGGACAGCTGGGGAGTTCTCTCTGCTGTTTTGATTGATATCCCGATGGGCAAATTGGTTGGCCTTTGGCTAGTGTTTACATTAATCGGTGGCCAGCTGGCCCCAGGCCAGACAGAGAAAAAACGGTAATTATGGTGGGCACGTGGGCCAGAAAGAGAGGCTGCCCCCCTCCCATGGGGCAGTGGTAAGGAACAGTTCCCTGCCCTCAGCCCCATCCCTTCCAGTTAACACAGAGTGGCATGAAAAGCCTGGCATTGTAGCTCTGCCCACTGCTAGCTCCTGATTCCTCAGGGAAACACATTGACTGGCTGAGGGGTGCAGGCGCTTTTCAGAGGCCTCTGGAGGTCCGGCTGGCCCTGACGACTGAGAAGCCCTTGAGCTGTGCACAGTCCCGAGAATCCCCTCTCCTACTGGGCTGACGGATCTGACTTGCTCTCTTCCGCTCAGGCACGGCTGGGGTGATCATCTCCCTCAGCCGCATCTTCACCAAGCTGCTCCTGTCGGATGAGAAGGAGAACACCATCATCTTCTTCTTCATCTCCATCGGCATCGAGCTCATGTGCTTCATTCTCCACCTGCTGGTGAAACACACCCATTTCGTCCGGTACTACACCGCCTGCTCCCGGGAGGGTGCTGCTGAGGGCAAAGGGCTGCCAGACCGCGGCACCGGATACAGGGTGCACCACGACGTCACGGCGGAGGACGTCCGGTTTGTAAGTCTCCCTTTCTGTGCTACAGGGGCTGGCGGGGCAGGGCCCGCGCGGGTTCTCCTGCCTCTGACCTGGGCCTCCCTGCTGCTGGGACTGATGTGCTGGCAAAGCTGTTTCCTACAGAAATGGGCAGGATTGTCCAAGGTGCAAAGAGGCACTGATTTGCTTCAGGCAGCCTTGCGGCGCAGAATCCCAGAATTGAGCTAGAACCTGGGGCAAGGCATCGGCCCTCAGACCCAGGAAAGCAGCCAGCTGGGCCCATGGGAGCCACTC